GGCAAATGCATTAGCATTTGTACAATGCCTAATGTATTATTATATAGTGTTTCAACTTTCAAATCCTGATCTTAACAAATTATTGTCAAAAATATGTTAAACTTCATATCTTTAAGGTCCAGTGAGATTTTTTAGTTTTTGAAAGTTAATAAAAGAGCCAACAATTCAATGAGAGTAAATTTTTAAAGATATGTAAACTAAATAACTCAAAATGTTATACCGCTTAAACTAGAATCTAAAATTTAAACTAGAATCAAAGTTATTGGTCAGTGAAAATCGAAAAATCACATCGCATTTTTGTTGTCGCTGCTGTTGTCGTTCCTTTTTTTGTTGCGGTTCTTGTTGTCATTGCTGTTGCTGCTGTTGTTCTTGTTGCTGGTTCTCCTCCTGTGACCTTTTCTGTTTGTAATCTACATAATACAACGTTTTAGTTAGCACCTTTTAAATAACCACAACCAAAATCCAGATCACATTATGCATATTTGCTGACAATCACCTATTATTTTTGATATTCAAATGAATGATTGCATGGTCATTAGCCCTTCAGGTATCTGTTTGAAGTTATGGCTAATTATAATAATAATATGGGTATAGCTAATACTGTTTTGCTGTACTGAGGCTCCAGCTACTGTATTGATCAATGAGCAAAGAGAGTATGCAAATAATTGAAGGTTGAAGCTTCAAGGGCGATATAAGTTAAGTTGTGGGCAAAGATTTGCAAGCTTTGTTTCTTTGGTATATTTGTCCGACTGCACGGCTGGGCTAAATAAGTCAGCTTGTCATGACTGCAAGGACCGGTGAATTACACACAGCCTCTGGTGAATAGCTGTCAAATGTCTGGTCTCCTTAGTGCTGGCAAAATTCACTGTTCGCCAGTCTGAAACAAGATGGGCGGGTCATCACCGGGCATGGGATTCCTCACATCTGTTTGGCTAGTTGATTCAACTGTAATTTGTTATCTCATATTCTAATGAAACACTGCAACACTAAATAAGCAACAGCATGTACTGACTGAAAACAGCTCAATTGAATTGATAATCACTTGCAGCAGCCTTCAGCAAATAAATGTTGAATATAACTTCATATATAACAAGTTCCGTTGATGAGTAGGGTTTGGATTACTCAGTTTCCTAATTGAATCAAGGTCCTTTTCTTTTCTCTGAAAAGGCATAGATATCTTGGACATCTTGATTGAGACAAACTTTCTTCCTTATACCTTGCTCTGTTCCGCAAGAAGAGCATCTCTATAAAAAAAAACACATACACCGTATGTTTCAAAAGAACTTTCAATGCAGCAGAATTGTAGCTCTCAGTTGTATGTGGTTTGTCTCTTAGCATGACACCTCAAACTTTTAAACAAACATTGCAGGGCCAGTGATACAAACCAGAGACAAATCCATTAAATTTTGATGAAATGTACATAGAAATTGGATGAGAAATAAGCAAAATTTAATATTTCTTTTGCAATTATAAACAGTTATTGAAAAAGGTTTTTATAATATCCCAAATTTATAGATAATTGATGCATATTTTTTAAATAACATGTTAACACTAGTCTAGACCTAGGGTACAAGTTGGTCTTTTTAGGAGTACGAAGGTCATTATTATTGCCTTGGATATGTAGTTTTTTTGTCAAATCGCAAACAACGAGTTAAATTGGGTAAATACCATAGGTGAGGTCAGTGAGGAAGGTTTAGCAGCCAATGGTCGCTAACACCAAAAGAGTAAAACAAATAAATCATGGTTGAATAAGGCAGTTGAGGCTGACAAATTGTGGTGGCCCTATTGTGATATAATACTTATACCAGATGACTATGACATTGGAGAACACTGAGAAGACAAATAACTGAAAATATTCTGTAAAATTAAAATGTGTAAGTGTCAAGCATCAGAGGTGCATTAGACCACATAAAATAACTTGCTAGATTCGCATCACTGCCCAACTACTGTATTTTACGAGCTGTGTTAAAATTTTTTATATTTTGTTATACAATATAAATGTACCGCCCGACAAAAATAATTCAAGACAGTTAAGGTATTTTATATTTTGGTTTTAGTGCCATTTTAAACTGCCAATTCAAACAGAGACTTGAAAGAAATTTCATTGCATTTTACAGGAACTTCGCATTTAGTTCAAGGAGATATGTTGGAAATGACAGAAATGTGTACTGTAATATATTTATTTTGGTTTATGACACTTCACTTCAGAACTCACAGAAATATTAAATGTTAGGAATTATTTTTTTATTTAATAAAATAAACCATCAATGCTGTAGCAACTAAAGATTGTAATAATTATATAAATATGGCCTTATAAACAAAGTTGAGGAAGAAATTTTAGTATGTGTGATGTAAGTCGGACAAAAATAGTACAGCTTAATTACTGAGTTGTGTAGCTGTCATACATATTTAATACAGATCGACGGAATATATCGAGGTCCTATAATCGAAATCATTATTTACATACCTGATACCTACACTGTCAATTCCCACAAACTATAAGATAACCATAAGTATATTGCAGGATTGGCAGCGTCTGGTATAGAGATATATTGCCATTGCCATTGATTTTCAACCACTCCAAACATTGCCATAAACTGCCATGCAGGGCACTATATAGCCTCCTGCGCAGACATTGTTAGTGGCCGAGGCCTCACCTAACGTCTGCTCATATTCGCTATACATTTGACTTCCCGGCAATTAACCAATCACAATCATCTACACGATAATTGGAAGATCGGCCTTCAATGACCTTCACACGCATGGGCTATTATCAACAAGTCTGTAGTATTTTTAAATTTGAAAGTTTTAACACTGCGCATCAGAAAAAGGCTTTTCAAGTCTATTATAAGCGAAAAGAAGGATGTTTTCATAAATCTCACAACTGACACAGGAAATCACTTATTTATCACGCCATTACCGAAGCTATTCGATGTAATATTCGGATTTAAACAAATTGTAAATGTACATTGTAAACATTTAGTATAATCGTGGTTGCGCCATTGATAAATTCAATACGAGATCAAGTCAAAAACTACGCATCTAGGAGTCACTGCTGTGTCATTATTAAGTTGAATCGAGAGCGATGGCATTGGAAGAAGGGAAATATTCCGACTGTATTATATGGCACAGCAGAGTCATTGTTGAAGACCGAACGATGGTCTGAGACAAATGCTTCAACAAAATGTTGTCTTTTTATACATTGTCTCGTATTATCAGGGTCGGAGCGGGGGGGGGGGTTTAAGACAAATAGTTTATATACAAATAGTCAGAATATTGACAATATCTATAGTCAACTATAATAGTTTATAACTTGTCTTATATCACACTTGCGTCGGTTTGTTCGTCGGAGGTTTATAACTGGTTAATATACCTTGAATAAATAATTACATCAAACTTTTCGACAAAACGTGAGAATTTTTCATCAAAAAATTTTGAAAATGACAAAATATCTTAGAAAACCTCCATATAAGTTGGTTATAAACCTCGAAAGTCGGTTTATAACTGATATATTGCCCTCGGACGCTGCGCGTCCTTGGGGGCAATATATCAGTTATAAACCTCCTTCTCAGTTTATCACTCTAATTTAAGGTTACTCCACATGATGAAAGTCCATTTCAGGAAAATGCTCGCCGCGCACTAAATTTTAAAGTTTCCCCCCTCAAATTTGGCACTCGCAACGATAAATCATTGCTGCTGCTACTACTTTAACAAAAATTATACATTTTTAAAAACTATGGTTGCTACGAGCTGCTTTTGAAAATATGACACACTTTGCGCAATGAGCTTTAGAACCATCCGATTAAACTCAGAAGCTTCCGAAATATCACATTTCCCATGTTAAATGATCAAAGAACAAAACCATGTTCGCATTTTCTGACAGGTATTATATTTGCTGAGATATAAAGCAGATAAGTTGACTCATCAAAAATTTGCAATAACTACAGAACAGAAGCCTATAATTTGAAAACTAAAGCATTAAAAGAAAAACGCGAACACGGTTTTGCTCCTCTGATATTGTCCTACATTGTGGTAAAGTTTGGTAGCAATTGAATAAAACGTGCCCATTCCATAACTCGTTTTGTGAGGACAACCGGGATGATTATTCCTTCTCTGTAAAAGACAAAAAGTGATTTCGCAGAGAATTTCCGTTCTCTGTTATGTTTCTCTGCCCCCTGTCATCACTTCAAACTGAAGCCAATCAGGTTCGACTTTTAAAGTGTGTTTTGGCTGGGTTTCATTTTGACTCGGCATCAATGATAAGCAAGTGCACTTATAGTTATATAAGATTGATCACTTTTTAAACCGGCGTTTTACTTAGAAAGCAAATTTCACTATGTTGTGTATGTGTACCGACAATATTACAGTGACATAGCTATATCTAAAACGAACAAGCCGCCCAATGTTGAATACCGCCACAGATGTGTAACATGCACCCTGTGGTCAAACTTATCCACAAACTGTCAATCACACTTAAAACTTTCCCGGGGGGGAAAAAATTAGACTATAACATTTTCGGTTATATCTCGGTTGCATTTTAATATTTTCAAAAAATATTTGTGGAAATGGAAAGATCTCTAGCCCCTCGATATAAATCGATAAAAATGTAAAAAAGGACAAAATCAATGTTTTCATCATATGGAGTAACCTTAAAATTTTAATGTATGTAGGACAAATAGAGTATACTTAAAGTATCCTATTATGTAAATATAAAGTATTTCACCTTGGTGACAGAACTTACTCTCCCTAAAAATGAGACGGGCCACTGCATTTTGAATCTGTTAAGTTGATGAAGTTGATATGATGGTATACCATAAAACAAGCTATTACAATAATCACGCCTGGAGGTTATGAACGCATGGACAAGTATCTCGGTGGTCTGTCTAGAAAGATATGGTCTAATCCTTCTAATATTATATAAGTAATAGAAGGCAGTTGAGCATGTTCGTGTAATATGAGCATCCATAGATAGATTCCTATCCAACCACACACCCAAACTCTTAATAGGACTCCATCTTGTCATCATTCATTAAACGTTTATCCTTGGACATCCAGTTCATAATATCGTTCACACACAATTCCATGCTCTTGGCAGCTTGCATATCTCCATGCTCCTTACTAGGATTGAAGGAAAGATATCTCACTATCATCAGCAAAACAGTGAACATTTGGAAGATGATTTTTGATGACATTAAAAAGTTCACTAGCATAGATGGTAAAAACTAGAGGTCCAAGACATGAGCCCTGTGGAACCCCCCAAATTAGATCGAACTTCTCAGAAACTGCTCCATGCACAGCAACTCATTGTGATCTACCTTTGAGGTAAGAACCGAACCACTTCAAAACAACACCTTCAATACCAAGTTCAGTTGACATATGATCAAGCAAAATATCCTGATCAACGGTATCAAAAGCGGCACTAAGATCCAGTACCACCAGAAGCGTTACATGTTGCTTGTTTATATTAAGCAATTGATTTTGAGTAGCGCAGTCTCAATGCTATGATTCTTTCTATATGCGGACTGCAGAGGTGGAAACAAATTGTTAACAGTCATGTGACAATGAGTTTGATTAGAGGCAGCCTTCTCCGTGAGTTTTGAGATGAATGGTAGATTACTGGTCTTAGATTTTGAAAAGTAAAGTCAGCTCCTACTTTTTTCAGCAATGGAGAAAGTAAAGCATCTTTCCAGTCATCAGGAAAATGACCACTTGCAGAGAGGTATTAATCATTTTTGTAATAATAGGCAGGAAACAACTACATTCACTAACTAGTTTAGATGGCATAGGATCAGTTGGACTGGTTTTCCATGATGAGCTCATAATCAGTGCTGAAACCTCTTGTTCCGTTAGAACATTGAAATCAGAAAAAGGCGACACGCCACTTGTAACTGTTGCAGCATTAATTTGAGTCTTACTTGTAACAGGATCCTACTGTCAAGCTGTTCTCGAATATTGGCAATCTTTCGATAGAACTTGGCAATGCTGCTCGCACATACAGCATTGTCTGGGACAGGTGGTAAATCACGAGTTTTCGATTCGTTTATTAACTTCATAGTGGCAGTGAAGAGCTTTTTCTGATTTCCGCTATGGGCATCAATAAATTCTGAATAAAATTCTCAATGAGCTTTATTCATTAGTTGAGTCACTACATTTCTCTTCTGCTTGAAACAGCCAGGTCAGCGGCTAACCTTGTGTCTCTCCACGTTCTCTCAGCCTTCCTGCATTTCCGCTTCACCTCTTTAATTTCCTCATTAAACCATGGTACACAGGTACGTTCAATGATGCCTTTATTCTTAAAGGGAGCATGTTTATCTAAAACAGACTTTAGAGTAACATTATAACACGCTACCAGCTCGTCAATGTCATCAGGGGGAGATTGACAGAGTCTGGAATCGAAAAGGTCTTGATTGCACGAGGTTATATCTATAGATTTAACTCGCCTATAACTCACATTCTTGGCCGATAGTGTTGGCTTGTTCACACGAAGGCTGCAAAGGATTGCTGCATGATCCGAAAGATAACAATCACTTCTCGGAGTGTTGCAGATAACATGATCAGACTGGCGAGTAATAATCAAATCTAATGTATGCCCGTCGACATGGGTAGGGCCAACAATGTGTTGCTCTAAACAATACGACTCTAAAATGTCTAGAAATTTGATAGCATCTCTATCAGTAGGGACATCGACATGAAAATTAAAATCTCCTGTGATCACTAAGCGTTCATTACACAAGACAATAGTATCCAGATAATCGGAGAATTCTTCGAAAAAGGTGCTTGATGTAACTTTATGATCCTCGGAATATGGGGCCCGATATACAATAATTAGACAAAGATTAATATCCGATGGTAATATTACTTTCCACTCAGAGAACTCAAAGGAAGTCTTAACTTCAGCATTATGTTTTGATACATTAATAGATTCACGATAAAAAAGGGCAGTGCCACTGCCTCGACGATTAGGTCGCGGAACATTAGCAATGTTATAACGAGTTGACTTAACTTCTGCTCTTACAGCATCATCAATTTCCTTAAGCCAAGTTTCTGTAACAGCAATGAGGTCAGCATTGCATTCATGGGCATAGTCTTGAAAAATAGCTGATTTATTTCTGAGTGACCAAATATTCAACACGCATAAAGATAAACGCTGCTTTGAATTTGCATTAAATGGCACGCATCTGACATTAGTCAATACTCTAGCACAATGTTTTGGACGATTAGGAATTGACCAGCTTCTTCTTGTTCTTAGGATATCTAAACGCGATCGACTTATAAATAAATTCCGATCTGAATATATGTTAACCTGCATGTCTAGCAAAGAATTAGTCGAGCATGTCTGGCATCGTTTGCAATTTGATTAGATTTTCCCATAGAGTCCTGTCCTGGGTTTACAGAGACATCGACACAAACAGAAAGATCAACTTTAAAAGGTCTTGAACACAGAATCAAACAGATCAAGCCATGCTTACTTCCCTTCGTGACTGGATGGGAAACTTTAAACGTTCTGCCAAGAATGGTACAGATGATAGACAAAATGTACATTCCGAAAATTGCCATCAACTAAGCCATCCTTGTCCAATCCACAAAAATCCTTCAAGCCTTGAAGTTTATCTTCATTAATAACATATTCGGCACCTAAATTATCTTTAAAATAGCCAAATATCATGAAATAAATATAGAGCTTAAAATATAAACAGCCGGCCATATTTCGACTTACTCGTTAAAAATAATACAATACTTATCTTGTAATCAATTGTTCATCGGACAGAGTCCACAAATATTGCTGAAACAGAAGCAAGTCATCGCTGTTGGAACATTCGACTATTTTATTGAAGTCACACTAATTAAATGATGCTGCTCGATATCCTTATAAAATGACTTTAATACACAATTGATTGTATATCATTACCAGGAAATATATTTCGTATTATAATTGCTGTTACAAAGGAATGCAAAAATCGTATATAATTCAAATAAAAACTCAAATTTGTTGGTCTTTCAATAAAAATAAAATCACGCCATTACCATGTGTTCTCTGCTCTGCAACCGACACTTCATGACAAACCCACACATTTATTGGTAGTCATTTTGGCATTGGGCAAGTATGTGCATGTTTACTTCAGTTATTGTTCCAGGTTATTTACAGTTCACTGCTTCCAACATCACCAACACTGGTGTATGTATGGTTGTTGACCATGAAGTTGTGAAAGCAACATGATGCAAGGATCAAGTATGTCACTCTTTCAGGACTCAACTTTATTGTTGTGAGAAACACATCAATATCATCAGCACACATTTTCAACAACCGGTCTGGTGCGAGATAACAGATAGTTGAAAATGTGTTTGGGTTTATCCATATGTCCGTAGGAATACGTTTCATCATAACATAATAAACAATGTAATATAATATAACTCATGGTCATCAAAGTGTCAAAAAATCTTTACTACTCTTCAGTGGGCTGGTCAGAAATTGGCTAAATTTGTGAAGTCAAAACAGATTTTTCTATATTTATGATATTTACAATGTTTTCTTTCCAATCACTATTTAGTGCTGGGTTTGGGCATACAAAAAAAGACTGTTAATGTGAAAGTGAATACCAACAATGGGGTTGAGAGACAACATTGGTTATTCAAGTACCAGTTTCTTGCCGACAACAGAGATAAGACTCTGAGTGGCCTAACAAGTGTTATGGTTTTATTATTATTATTAGTAAGCTTTATTTGCATGACCTAATTATTACAGGTATTGCTAAGCGTAATCGAAAATATATAAAAGTTAACTAGTATAAAAACTACTTTAACTAACGGAAGACAATATACTGCTATTTACATGTATAATATATCAAATAGGAAGGATATATGACAGAACAAATATCAAAATTTAAGAAAAGATTAGAAAGAGTGAATATAGAAAAAGGGAAAGGAAAGTTAGATAATATATATATTAATTCCTGTGGTAATGATCAACAAACTACAAATAGAAACATTTTGGACAATTAACCAAGCATTTGCTCTTGAAAAACATGATAAACAGCAAGAACTACGATTTCTAATAATAGATTAGAGATCAATCAATGTTATTTTAGTAAGTTGGTTGTTTACTGTCAAAAATGCCTGTTTACCGTGGCTTTTATGAGACAACCATAAAGTTTTTAGTAGGTTAACCGTTCTATAAAAAAATTCAGATGAAATAGTCGGAATATTAGCCTAATATTAACTTTGCAAAACAACATGCACATGACACTATGTCCTGCTGGGTGTTCGGTGGGATTTGATAGTTGAATTGGATTAATTTCCAATGCACACGCATCATTTCGGTTTCTCGCTCATCAATAACGCCATTGTTTATGAAAACCAATGGGTTCTCGCTTGTGCAAAATATTGGGGTATCATTTTCGAAGGTTATGTTCTTGGAAAAGTGGGTTTTGGGTGTGGGTAAATGAACCATATGGCCCTCCAGCAGCAAAAGTAAGTCATGCCATGGCAACAGCTGTGGACACCAGCGAAAATCATTGAGAAAGATACACTCAGCTGTTTCTGCCCCAATCCATGCAAAAGTGCCTGAAGCTGGATTGCAAAAAGTGTTGAAAATAAGTGTGAGAGGATTGAGGAGAAACGTTTTGCCACAATTTGCTGGACCTATTAGCATTATATTTCGGATGTGTACATGTGTATAATCTAAGATAAGTAACCTTTTATTTGAACTATTGTCTAATAATATCCTACTACGATGGATGATTTAAGTGTGTGTTTAATGCAGTATTATACGAATTATCTCATGGACCTCTCAATTACAACATTGATCGCGTAGAAACCCTAGTTTTTAACCCGTTAGAAGATCTGAATTTAGTAATAGACAATTTTCCAATAACAGATCATGATCCAGATCAAAATTTCTATACATGTTCACCGCCCGCTAGCAAATATGTGGTAGAAAGTGAAATTCGTGACCTAGCCAGTGAACCGCAAAAGAGCTTTAATTTGTCTTTCCTTCATTTGAATTGTCGTAGCTTGCTTGGTAATTTTGACAGGTTTAAAACTTTAACTGCAAATTCGGATACTACATTTTCTATCATTGGTTTATCTGAAACTTGGCTGAATGATGAAACATTTAATCAGGTTGATCTCCCGGGCTATGATTTCATTTCCAATCATAGAATAAATAAAGCCGGTGGGGGGGTCGGTCTATATTTACACGACCATTTTCAGTATAAACAAATTGGTAACTGCACAATCTCCAATCCTGAGGTAATTGAGTCTTTGTTTGTTGAAATTATTAATCCTAAGGGTAAAAACTCTATAGTAGGTACGATTTATCGACCACCAAACCAAAATATCGCATCTTTTCTAGAGGAAATCAACAAAATACTATCGATTATCACTAAAGATAACAAACACTGTTATATTATGGGAGATTTCAATTTAGATTTACTCCATTATGATAGTCACCACTATACACAAGAATTTCTTGATTCCTTGTTTTCACACATGCTTATTCCTCTCATTACTAAACCGACCAGTGTAACATCTCATTCAGCTACCATTATAGATAACATATTCACAAATTGTTTTCAACAAAACACATTGAATGGATTAATCCTTAATGACATTTCAGATCATTTCCCTGTGTTTGCATATTTTAAAAAGGACTCGCCCACACGTTGAGGAAATGAAGTAATTTATAAGAGAGATTATGCGGAACGGAATTTGTTAAAATTCCAAACAGCTCTTTCACAAGTAAATTGGTCAAGCGTCTTAATTGATGAAGATCCAAATGACCTATATAACGATTTTGTCAGCGAATACAATAGGCATCTCGAAGAATGTTTTCCTCTAAAAATGTATAAGTCAAATTCTTACAATAAACCCAAAACTCCATGGATTTCAAAAGGATTGTTAGTTTCTGTAAGAAAGAAAAATAAGCTTTACAAAAAGTATATGACTAATTCCACAACTTACCGAGAGAGGAAATACAAAGAATACAAAAATAAATTGAATCATTTAATTAGAATAGCTAAGAGAACTTATTATGATACTAAATTCGAGCAAGCTAAATCCGACTTGAAAACTACATGGAAATTGATTAATGAGGTCATAAACATTCGTAAGAAGAAGTCATCTTACCCGACCTCTTTCAACATAAATAATAACATGATATCGGATCCTAAAAAAATTGCGGACGAATTTTGTCAATACTTTACTAATGTGGGTACATCCTTAGCCAATAAGATACTTCCATCAAATCATTCTTTTGAGAGTTTCCTAAAACCAGCAGTACTGGAAACTATATTCCTAAGACCAACGCACGAAAGTGAGCTTCGTGAAATATGCATGTCATTTAAAAATGGAAGAGTGTCTGGTTATGATAACATACCAATGCATACAATTAAAAATTCCTTTGAATTTATTTCAAAACCACTGACGCACATAATTAATAAGTCTCTGGAAAATGGAGTATTTCCTGATAGTTTGAAAATTGCTAAGATAATTCCAATTTTTAAATCTGGCGATATGGACAAATGTTCAAATTATAGACCTATATCAATCTTAGCAAATTTTTCCAAATTTTTTGAAAAGGTTATGCATAAACGGCTTTTGCATTTTATTGAAAAATTAGAACTTTTGTACTGTTATCAATTTGGTTTTTGTAAGAAACACTCAACTGAACTTGCACACATCCATTTGATTAACAAAGTTGCGACCTCTATTGACGAGAACAAATTGACAGCTGGTGTATTCCTTGACTTATCCAAAGCATTTGATACAATTAGTCATGAAATATTATTTTATAAACTTGAACATTATGGCTTCCGTGGTATCGCTTTAAGTTGGATTAAAAGCTATTTCAAAAATAGAAAACACTTCGTCCAATTTGGAAAAATTAAATCCTCCGAAGCCATTACCCGATGTGGTGTACCACAGGGTTCTATTTTGGGACCACTCTTTTTTATACTCTATATCAAGGATATTCCCAACTCGGTACGCTCAGTTGAACTTTTATTATTTGCGGACGACACCAGTATTTATTATTCCCATAATGATCCTAACGTACTTGCTAGGGTAATGAATGATGCATTGCAAAA